TACGATTAGTTTATATTTAGAATATGGACATTATATATTCAGTTGTTTACATGTAGCCGAGATATCAAGAAGTCTATTAAATAAGAGAACATTATAATAGCTTTAAATTTGGCGGGGCGAAACTTTGGAATAGCCTCCCTTTGCAAGCAAAACTAGCTCAATCTGAATATACCTTTAAAATGAATATTAATAATCTTGATACATAACTTACTTATTTCTTCGTAATGTTGTAAATATCTTGTAAATATTCTTGTAAATTACTTTATTTATTCAAGTGTGTTCCACGCCTCTCATGGAAACCAGCTTGTAGCTGATGAGGCTAGCGTCGTTTTTTTCCCTTTTTGTTTTTAAATAAAAGTTTACATACATACATACACACACAGATACACACACACACTCACACACACATTGATGCACACACACACATACATACATACATTCATCCAATTGACAACAAAGGATTCTTGTATTTTCGATAAAACACTAGTAAGGGCTACAAATGATGCCTGTTTTAAGACCGTTAGTTATGCAGTTTTGCTCTTATTACGCGTAATAGGGTAATAAGCATTGATACTAGCTATGTAGGCAAAGTGACCAAAGTAATAGGGTATTAAGCAATGGAATAGTACAAAACAAAGTCTGAAAACATATCAGTCTACGTGAGAAATCCGAGATATGGATTAAAACAAGAATATGGATTAAAACAAGACCACTGGAAATAGGTCTGAGAGTAAACATATGGACGATCCTATTCTTCGCTATCAACTAGTTTCAGATAGACGTGAAATTTTTGCCTGTCTTGATTATGAATCGACCAAGCGCGCAATCTCGGCGTTTAATAATAAGATGTTGTTTATGATGCCATTACCATTACTGCGATATTATTATAAAGAAAAAAATGATCGGGCCTTATGGCGATATCATAATCCACCGCGATGAGTAATATGACACTGCCTGTAAGAATATTTTGGACCGAAATTGGATAGTGTTAGTGATATATTCCGATCACACTTAATAATGCACATCTTTCGATTTGACGAGTTCAAAGGCAAGGCACAGGTTGAAATATAATTTTAAAAGAAATGTCGAAGCGACGACGTGGTTCGGACATGTTCCGCGAGAAGCATTCCTTGCCCGGTTTGGCATCGAAGGCCGAGGCGAGGGAAAATATCAACAACATCGCAAATATTGGAAGTGCCAAAAATCTACGTTTGTCTCAATTGCTCGAAGAAAAAAACGAGATTGTTGAGGAGCCCATGATATTTATACTATCAACTAAGCTAACGACAAAAGGATTAATGACGCTAGCAATTGCAATCAAGCACGTTTAGTAAGGCAATATAGTCAGGCAGATCATGTTGAATTTGCGGTAAATTTACGACTGTATGCGATCGGCACGGCACCATAATCGCAGATTTTCTTCATAATGCCATTATGAAGAAAATCTGCGAGTTTACGTAACATTAGTAGAAGCAAGATGCCCAACGTTATGTTCAAAATCCGAAAAAGATTTCGAAGACGTTCTTTGGAAACATGCCCCTGGCTCCATTTAACTGATATTCTCAGCTCTAGTTTCTGAAACACTTCTGGGAGATCTGGGAGAAAGCGATTAAGGCATTTCAAAAATGAAATCAATCGATTTTTGTCGCCACCATGCATAATGGGATTCCCACACGGCAATCTTGGAAATCAGTGTGTTTTTGTACATAGTATTTAGTATTAAAATTAGTCAAGTAGATGCATGTAAATAGTACCTATACATACACTGAAAATTTTACCCTGTTTAAATAAATGTTCAATAGACTCTGTTAGTAAAACGCGGACTAGGACCACAATTTTGCGCCTATATTTGACCAAAGTGGGACAAAATGGCAGCGAGTTTTAAAATCCCAACAAGTCTGAAAAGAAAGGCAAAAAAGGAACCAGAGTTGCCAAAGTTTGAGTGGAAACCTTTCGAAAAAGAAAAGAAGTTGGGTTGCGGTACATTTGGGTCCGTATACCTAGGAAAACACAAAGGAAAACCAGAAATTGTGGTTACCAAAAGAATAATGTCAAGTCCATTGACTCGACATCCCGTTTCGTCAAAGAAGCCGCACTGTTGAACAGTGAAACAGGCCACAGGAACATAATCCGGTTCCTTGAATTTTGTAAAGAACCACTCAGTAATGATGCATGGAACATTCTTGCTTCGATTTTTGCCCGTTTCGAGTTGCAAAAAGCCTTTGCACTCTAGAAGATTTTGTCCATTTCGTAGATGGCGAGTACAGTTTGACTTTGACTTTGCCTCCTTCGCAGACTTGCTGCCAACATGTTCCAAAGATATTGTCGAAGGTTTGAAATATTTGCACAGCAAGAATATCGTTCTAATTTAATAAATATTATGAATTAAGATAATCTCTTTGCACTAATTTCATTCAGTGCATGCTTTTTTCAAGTATATGATATATGACATACTTTATGCCAAAGAATGCAAGCCAAAAAATGCAAGGTGAGAAAAGTTCGGAGAAACCAAGACGGTGATTTCATTAACATAAAAAATGACTTGGTTTGTAAGTCGAGAGACCGACTTAAGCCAAAGTCATGCATGCAGCCAGTTTACAAACAACAGGGCATTCACCATAAGCTTCGGCAAACTCATCTTCATTAAAGGGATATGCTGCTGTTGTGTCGATTTAAAACTAATATGCTTCCTGGTTTCAGATCCTGGTGCCAGCGATATTCTTGCTGTGCAAATATTTCAAACATTCGACAACATCTTTGGCACATGTTGTCAGCAAGTCTGCGAAGGAGGCAAAGTCAAACTCGTCGTCTACAAAATGGACAAAATCTTCTAGAGTGTCAATCGACTCGACATTATCTTTTTGGGAACCACTTTTTCTGGTTTTCCTTTGTATGTTCCTAGGTATACGGACCCCAACGTACCGCAACTCAAACTCTTTTCTTTTTCGAAAGGTTTCCAATCAAACTTTGGCAACCCCGGATCCTTTTTTGCCTTTCCTTTCACACTTGTTGGGATTTTAAAGCTCGCTGCCATTTTGTCCCATTTTGATCAAATTTTGGCGTGAATTTGGGGTCCTAGTCCGGCATTCCGCGTGCATGCTTATTACCTTACTACCCTACTACTTTATTGCTTGCTTATGTGTCCTTACTCCCCTGCATGATTATTACCTTATTACCCTGTTACCTTATTGCTGGCTTATGTGATTTTATTCTCTTGCATGCTTATTACCTCATTACCCTATTACCTTGTTGCTTTGCTTATGTGTGCTTATTCCCCTGCATGCTTATTACCTTATTACCTTGTTACCTTATTGCTTGCTTATGTGTGCTTATTCCCCTGCATGCTTATTACCTTAGTACCCTATTACCTTGTTGCTTTGCTTATGTGTGCATAATTCGCCAGTAGTATAGCATACGCATTGCATAAATTTTGCAATTATGATAAACTTTTCATCGTTTTTACCTGTCCAACCTGCCCGTGCAACTTGTACACTTATTACGCAATTACGAGTAATAAGACAAAAAACTGCAATATACTGGTCTTATATAGTCGGCATGGTATAAAGGGCTATCGGTCTAAGATTGTCTACAGTTGAACAAGGTGAACTTTTGGGAATGCCTTTTAATTTATATTGTTTCTATATTTTTGGAAGTACTTTCCTCTAAATGAATCGTTAAAAATCTTTGTCAGTGGAACTGCCAATACATCTGCAAATTCCTTCAAGAAAAGAAACAGGTCATTTGGCCTCGGGTCTTTATTGATATTAATTTTCATAAGCTGTTTTCGGACATCTTCCTCACTGATGCTTGGGAGACTATCCGGACATTCTAAATCGGTCCATTCCTTGTTTATCCGGGGATAATCCTTAGTAAGATCCGCGAAGAAATCATTAATGGTAGTGACTGATTGATTATTATTCAATTCAAGTTCTGTTCCCGGATCTACTAATGTAACACTGTCTTTTTCCTTTCCAGTAAGGCGTTTAATTTGTTTCCACCACGATTTCGAACAAGCAGTTTGTTTTGGTCTCACCTTCTTATCATAGAATGTAGATTTAGCTTTCTTAATCTCTTTTGAGACTTGTGCCCTTAATGATCTAAAGAGCTCGATTTTGCCACTACTATATGCCGTGTTCCTTTTAACTATTAATGATTTTATTTTGTTCGTAATAATTATCCGGTCTCTGACAAGGACTCTTATAATAAAACGATGTATGAGAACATTCTAGTTAACTCACGTGAAAGGTCAACCTCGCAAACCAAGATATTTACCTTCAGTCCTCCACACGCTGTGGGGAAGGCTTGCGAGGTTCATGAAAGGTTTGTACGTTATTGGTGAGCTTGTGTATATACAACCTCGTATCCAGGATCTTTGCAGATCCTGGGTACGAGCTTGGTGTATATATAAATAGACTTTGTTAAATGTTATTGTGAAAGATAAAATATATCTTAAAATTTTTATTTCAGTTTTCGTTATCACAAGATCAAGAAAGACGAAGTTTAAATTTTCGGATCAAAACCCTCAAGGTATTTAATAATTAAGATACATTCAATTGGACTGAAAGGAGAATCAATACAGGGAGAGTGAAATCGGAGAGTTAGGATTTTGGAGAATTAAGTTCGAGCCACGCCACTTTTTCTAACGAATAGTACACTCACTGTTAGCCTGCTCACAGACGTTGTAGTTCTTACGCCAAGCGACGAAATACTACCGTCTGCTTACCCGAGCGCCAAACTGAATTCCGCTACGTCGACCA